CGGCCGCCCGGCTGGATGGCAGCCTCCCGCGTCTCGGTGCGCGCGCCCCTCGCCGGGCGAGCGCGCGCCGCGCGACGGCCCTCCGACGAGGCAGGCGGCGGCCCCTGCAGGGGCAGGGCCACGGCGCACGCCGCCCCCGAGAGCCCCGCGGCCCGGGGGGCGCCGCCTGCAGAGCGCCCTCGCCCCGCGCGCACCCCGTGCGCACGCGCGCCCCCGCGCGCGCCGCTGGGCCCGCGCGCCGAGGGGTCGCAGGGGCCACGTGGGGGGGAGGGGCCACGGGGGCCCCGCGGGGCTCCCGCGGGGGAGTGGCCACGGGGGCCCCTCGGGGGAGGGGCCACGGGGGCCACGGGGGCCCCGCGGGGGAGGGGACCGCGGGGGCCACGGGGGGGCTGCGGGCGCTGGAGCGATCCCCGGAGGGCTGTGATGGCCGGCGGCGGCCATGGACCGGGCCAGCCCCGCGCGGCCTCGGCTGCTCGGGTGGCGGAGGTCGCTCGAGGCACGGCAGTTCCAGGGCACTGCGCGCACGTCGGCGCGGCAGGGGGTGGCTCGGGTGGAGAGCGTTAGCAAGGGCGCCCTCGAGGGCGCGAAGTTATTCGCGCTTCGCGCTTCGGCTCCGATCCCCGTCCTCCTCTTCTCCCTTGGCAGGCGGCGCGAGAGCGCGAAGTTGTTCGCGCTTCGCGCAGCGCGAAGCGCGAAGTTGGGATCCCTTGCTTAGCTGGCGCTGCCATGCAGCACGGCGTGGAACACGAAAGGGGTCCTGGCAGTAACGGGCCCCATGCCCCGAGGTTGTCCACACATCAGGAGGGAAAAAGAAACACAGACACAATTCATCGTCGATCCCCCAAGAACATCTGCGAAAATATGGGAAGTGGGGGGAAGACAAACCAAGAAAATATGTGAAAATATTGGGACTCCTGTTATTTGTATGTGTATGTGTATGTGTATATATATATATGTGTGTGGTGTGTGTGTGTGTGTCCCAGAGCCCCTTCAACAACGCCAGTTCTCTATTCTCGGTCGTGTTCTGATCATCCTGCTCGTGCAAGGCATGTTGCAGTAAGTCGTGCAGTTGGCGCGTCGGCTATTGCATGCTGAGCGGGATGCGTGGCCCACGCGTCAAGTAGTATCAACACGTGTCAACGCTCGCTCTATCTCAATTGTCGCTTTTGGAATGTGGGATACGATTACCGCTTACGTCAGGCAACATTGGGTGGCAAGTGTTTTACGCAGGTTCTTGTAGTAAGATTTCACGCTGTGACCTGCATGTGGGTTAGTTGCTTTTGTTGGCCTGCACGAAACGCCTGTGTGAAAGGGGGAGGACACTTCTAGAGCCATTATCTGTACCTTCTGGCACATTGTGGCCCACGTGTGTTGGCGGCCCGGATTAGTAGGTCGACCCTGCCAGACCAAGGGTACCTTCGTGTCCTGTGTCTTGCGACCCGTGCCTCCCGCATTTCTGTGGCAGCGTGGCCCTCGGACGGGGTCTTATGTGTCCTCTCGCGTGTGCTCTCCAATCGAGTCCGACTGTACGGTCCCTGGCTTCTCCTAGCCCTCGTGCCTGGGCTCAAGTCGGGCCTGTCCCTCTACAGGGGGGATACTCAGAAATAGCCTAGGGACTACTTTTTGAGTATTTGTTGACCTTTTTGGGGTATCTTGGGTTTTTTTTTCGTCCAAAATCCCCTGTAGGGGGACAGGCCCAACTGAAGGCTTCTCCTGGCCCTCGTGCCTGGGCCGCCCTTGCAGAGCGGAGTCTCGCAGGCCTAGAGGTTGACACCAACACCAAGATCGGCGGTGTGCCTCCACCGAGGGAAGGCGATCCCGATCTCGGTGATGGCGGTAATATTCTGGCCTTCAAGGTGGCCGAGGTATTGCCACCAACACCGACATCTAGGATCATCTTCCCCTGTGGAGGCACCCCCCCGGGCTGGTGTTGGTGCCAATTTCCAGGCCTCCAAGAGTCGGCCGCACCGGTTCCGCACGACTCCTCGTGGCCTGCGGGCGGCGCGCCTCGGAGCGGTGCCCTCGGCTGCCCGTGGCCCAGGGGCGCCTCGCGCCTGGACGGCGGGGGGCACCTGGCTGCCGCCCAGCACGGTGTCTCTCGCCATGGAAAGTCTGCCATGGGCCCCAAGGGTAAGAGATGTGCGTATATATACGCATACATACATATATACACTTACATATACATATATATATATATATGTATACACACATATTTATACACACGTATTATATATATATACCTATTCTTATATTTTTATGACCTGGACCCCCCCCCCCCCCGGACCCCCCCCTAAACCGGATCCTCCTCCAAGGGACGCTCCGGACGCCCTTTCGGACGTCTCGGCGGCCCCCTAGACGCCCTTGGAAAAGGTTCGGTGGCCCTTCCGGGCCTCCCAGGGCGCCTCGCTGGGCCTTGCGAGCCGACTGAAGGCGATTAGAGGGGTCGTCGGAGAGGGGCAAGAGAGACCCAAGACAGCACAAGAGCGCTCCAAGAGGAACCTCCATGGTCTGAAGACGGCCCAAGAGGCCCCCAAGACACCCCAAGAGGCCGTTAAGAGAACCCCGAAGAAGCCAAAATCGTCACATTCCCTCAGATAATACATTTGTTGTGCATATCCGCTTTTTGGGTCTTCGCAGCGTCCAAGACGGCCCAATGGGCCCCCAATCTCGCCCCGAGACGGCCCGGGAGGCCCCCTAGACAGCTTGAAGGCGGCCCAAGGGGGCCCCAAGACTGCCCCAGAGAGCCCCGAGACTGCCCACAAGAAGCCCAAGATGCCCCCAGAAGGCTCCCAAGAGAGACCCACGAAAGCCAATGGATACTTCCAAGAACGCCACTGCAGGCCCGCAAGAGGGCCCTAGATGGCTTCAGAAGACCTCTGGAGGGCCCCAGCTCCCCAAGGCGGCCCAAGGAGCCCCCAGGACGGCCCAAGAGTGCCCCAGGACGGCACAAAAGAGCACCAAAAACGACCAGACGGCGATCTCCTACGAAATACATCAGGCTGACCCGACGATCTTGGTTCCACGCTTGAGGCTCGAGGTTTCAGTAGCTCCCCGATCGAGAGAGACAGGCAATGGATCTAGATTCGAAATTCGACGATCGAAGATTTCCTGAGTGCCTGGAGCCCTCCAGGCATTCGGGAAGCGATCAAAAATCGATGTGTTCGGAGCTACTGTGACTTCTTCGGCGTGTCATGGGAACGCTCCGTACTTCCTCAAAGGATCTTCGCGCGCGAAAAAATCAGCATGATTTCCCCACTCCTGCGCACAAGCGTGCCAGCGCATCGTCCGAAAGCGGTGTCAGCAGGCACCCGGGATATCGGAAAAATGGGCGGGTCGCCCGTCCAGGCCTCGAGGTCCTCCCTGCTGAAGAAAGCGATGATTTATTGCTTTGCCAGGGAAGCGTCCGGAACAAGGCGCATGGCGCGAAGCGCCAATGCAGTCTTGTACATATATATATACATATGTATATATATATATATATATAGATCGATCCGCTTCGATGTCGATCTCTTGTCCTTTTGGCCTTAGGTGTGCGGCTTTCGGGCGGCGCGGGGCTGGGGCTGGGGCGGGGTTGAGGGGGAGCGGGGGGGCAGGGGGGGGGCAAGCCCAGGCACGCAGGCCGCCACAGTCGTATCGCAAGCAGCGCTCGGCGAGTCGTTGCCTGGGGTGGGCCACTCTTGCGTGCTGCCGAGAAGCCCAGGCAGACACCAGCAGTCCTATCCCTGGGGCCCGACGTCGCGAAGAACATGCAACCTCGCAGGAATTCACGACTGGGAGCTTTGGGCCCCATTTGTCTGCGTCATTCCTCGACCCAGATCGATCCGCGAGGGCCCCAGGGCCGGGATCCCTGTCGAAATTGTTTGGGGGGAGGGGGAGGAGGAGGAGGAGGAGGAGGAGGAGGGAGGAGGAGGAGGAGGAGGACGAGGAGGAGGAGGAGGGGGAGGAGGAGGAGGAGGAGGAGGAGGAGGAGGAGAAAAGATCCAGCGCCAGGGTCTCAAGGTATTCCCAGTCCTGTCCAAGAAGGACCTCGCGCAAGAGCTGCTCGGGCTCGCTCCAGGGCGGCCATATACAGTCGGGGCGCCGAAAAAGGAACCCTTTTCGTTTGGTATGGGCTTAGTGTTCCTTCGTTGTTTCGCAGCTCGCCTTAGGTTTTTTCTTAGGCTTTCGATGGGGAGTCGAAGTTTCACACTCATGGAGAAAAGGGGCCTCGCTCCTTACTCAGGGCTCCTTAGGTCAACGCCCCGACTGTAGCCCAGACGGCAGTCCAGGGGCGTCCATGAGAGGGGGTGGTACCGTACATGGACAATAGATTCGAACCCTTACACATTTGAGGGAGATTCTAAATCACCCCCGCGCACCCGGCATCAATATTGATCTCAGTAAAGGCGGTGCTTTGGGATTCGAATATTTCTGTCCACTCGCGCCCCCCCCGTCGCCACGCCATCAATCTTAATTTCGGGGGTCTGGGGGGCATCTTGGGCCACTGGGTTCGAATATAATGTCCATGTACTGTACCACAGCCAGGGACATACGTCTCCTGCACTCCACGGCCCGCTCTCCTCTCGCGTCAGCCCTCCTCCTGGCCCCGTCCCCCTGACGCCCGCCGATCAGAGTTTTTTCGCTCCGCGGCCGCAGGGTGCACCCTGCCCCCCTCGGCATTCCAGCTCCCGACCCCGGATCGAGTTTCGAGGGCCCGCGGGGCCCGGAAGCGGCCCCCGCGAGGGCGAGATCGCTGGTCGAAGAGCAGGAGAACGTACCGTCGGCTTGGCATCGCTCGGACGTGTGAATTTTTCCTTCGGCGAGGACCATCGAGGAGCATCCTTGATCATTTGGCGAAAAACCACGCACGAAATCGAAAAAAGCACAGGGAGTGGACGTCCGAGCGATGGCCAGTCGGAGATCGTTGGTCTTCGGCGCCCCCGGCCAGCCCTGTCCGAGAAGGACCTCGTGCCAGGAGTCCCCGGGCTCGCCCCGGGGCGCCGCCCCGGCCCGGACGGCAGCCGCGCCCCGCAGCGCGCAGGCGCGCAGCGCCCTGCAGCGGAGCCTCCGGGCCGACGGCGAATGCCACGTGCTGTGCGTCGCGAGGCCTCCCACGGCGGCGGCCGCGCGACAGCGACGGCGACGACGACAACGACGACGACGACGATGATGATGATGATGATGATGATGATGATGGTATGGTGGTGGTGGTAGTGATGATGATGGTGGTGGTAATTAGTGATGATGATGATGATGATGATGATGATGATGATGATGATGATGATGATGATGATGATGATTATGATGATGATGATGATGATGATGATGATGACGACAACGACGACGACGACGACGACGACGACGACGACGACGACGACGACGACGGCGGCGTCGGGCGGCGACGACGACGACGACGACTGTCGGGCGACGACGGACGACGGCGACGAGAGCACAGAACAATGACGAAGGGCGACGACGATCACGACGACGGACAAATGACGAAGACGACGGACGGCGACCGACGAACGAAGACGACCACGGGCGACGAAAGCGACCTACGACGAACGACGAAGGCAACGGACGACGACCCACAAAAGACGACGATCACGTCGGACGACGACGATGAAAGCGTCGGGCGACGACCGACGAACGACTCTTTACGAACTGCGTTGGTCGAAGAAGAGGACCGGCAGACATAAGAACGTTCGAAGGTCCGCGCGGATTTGTTAGATCGGCATCGGACCTCTGAGTCGGGCACCAGAGTCGCCGTACCCTTCATTACTCCACGATCCTCGATCTTCAATCCCCCCTTGGCCCGCATCCGCCCCGATAAACTCGGGAGCCCCCAAACGGTGTGGTGACCACACCGTGCGGTGAGTCGGTGGGGATTCGGGGCCACCGCACGGTTTTGGGTCTCGAGTCCTTCTCCGAGGATGTCTCTGGCGACAGGGGCCTCCTGGGTCCCAAGACCGGGCGGTGACGGACCGTGCGGTGAGGTCTCGGGGGGTCTCGAGGTCACCGCGCGGTCTGTCACCGCGCCGTTGCGGGACTAGTGCTTCGGAGGAGGAGGAGGAGGAGGAGGGAGGAGGATGAGGGAGGCAGCTCCTGGCTGCGGTGCCCGTGCCTCCTCTCCGAGGGCGGAAGGGCTCTCCCTGGGGCCCCAGGCCGTCGAGCCGTCCCCAGGGTGAAGTCGGGCGTGTCCCCAGGGTGAAGTCAGGCGTGTTCCTCTGCAGGGGAGTCCAGACGTAGTCTGGGGACTCTTGTTTTGCAGCATGCTGGATCTTGTGTTGAGTGTTTTTTGTTTGAGTATGTCTTGTTTGTCCAACATCCGCCTGTAGGGGGACACGCCCGACCTAACCCCAGGGGCAAGTCTTCATCCTGAGGCGTTTTATGTTTTGATTGGCAGTCCCGGGGGCCCGTGGGGGGCTTCGGGGCCCCCGAGCGCTGCGGAGCACAGTCCAAGACACGTGTCCTCCAAGGCCAGGTGCCCTCGTGCTAGCAGCTTGCCCCACGAAGGCCTCCAGGCTCCTCGATCTTCAATCCCCATCTTTCCTCGGCATCATTTCACCGATCCCCATCCCCGTCCCCATCCATCCAGACCCCCACCATCTCATCCCCCCAGTTGGGGATCTACCCTTCGAGATCTGACAGAGACTGCCTATATCCCCATCTAGGGGGGTAAACTGGCCAGTGGGGCCCAGGCCACGCGAGTGGGGATAGGGATCGGTCAAACGATGCTCATTTCCGACCCTCGCCTCGCGGCCTCTCTCCCCCCACCCCCGAGCTCCCTTTCAAGCAACTGGCGGCTCAGAAATTACGGTCGGGCCGAGGTATGAGATCGAGTCGGTTCGGGGAGGGTACATCCTGCTGCTCTTCGTGCTTGCTGGATGCTCTTGTGTGCATCCCGGGGAGAGGGTACCTTTGGATGTTCTGTGTGGTGTGGCCGGTGGAGGGCCCCATGCTCGCGAGGGACGCCGACTGCACCTCGGCAGCGTGCCCCAGTACAGTGAGCGGCTTGAATAAGGAAAACGTACTTTTCAAAAGGGGTTCGGTCGTTCCTTAGGCTTGCATGCTTTATTTATAGTTCCTTATGCGTTATGTGTTATTGATCGTTCCTTATGCGTTATTTATTCCTTGGGATAAAAAGGGGCTTCGTTCGCTATTTATCGTTCCTTAGGTCAGGCCGATGACTGTAGCAGAGAGGTGCGGCCAGGTGCAACTTGGTGCATGTTTCATCGGGGATCGTTGCCGTCCAGACCAACAGTGCAGCCCGCATTATTGAGGCGAGAGCGCATTTCCTGAACAGGTGGCACGCACTCCTTGGATCTCGTACGAGGGTCATGGCGAGGGCTGGGGGGCGGGGGTGGGAAGGGGGGTTCTTGGGGCGATCTCGGTGTTCATTTGGAGCCATCATGCGGAGACAGGGGTAGGGGCGATCGGGGGCCGAACGAACGAACGAACGACGGCGAACGCAAAGGGCTCCGAGTTCTGTGCCGCATCTGCGCAAGAGAGTATAAAAGGGTCCCGCGGCCCAGGGGTGCTGCCCTGGGAGACCAGAGGGATGCGGCTGGTGAGATGCGGGGGCGGCACAGAGCCCAGGGAAGCGAGGCCTGGGCGAGGAAGAGGAGGAGGAGGAGGAGGAGGAGGAGGAGGAGGAGGAGGAGGAGGAGGAGGGGATGAGGGGGAGGAGGAGGAAGAGGAGCAGGAGGAGGGAGGAGGAGGAGGAGGAGGAGGAGAGATGGAGGAGATGGAAGAGGAGGAGATGGATGATATGGATGAGATGGAGGAGAGGAGGAAATGGAGGAGATGGAGGAGGAGGAGGAGGAGGAGGAGGAGGAGGAGAGGGGAGAGGAGGAGGAGGAGGAGGAGAGGAGAGGAGATGGAGATGGAGATGGAGATGGAGGAGGAGGAGGAGGAGGAGGAGGAGGAGGAGGAGGAGGAGGGGAGGAGGAGGAGGAGTGGGAGGGGGAGGAGGAGGAGGAGGAGGAGGAGGAGGAGGAGGAGGAGGGAGGAGGAGGAGGAGGAGGAGAAAATGAGGAGGAGGAGAGGCCAGGGAGGGGAAGCCAGGGGGAGGTCGGGGGGGAGGAGGGCGACCGGCGGCGAGCGACGAGAACACGAGCGGCACGTACTCCCAGGCTCTCTTGCACCGAGGGAGGGCGAGGGCCACGCGAGGCGGGGGGAGCAACGGGGGGCTCTTGGGGCCGTCCTGGTGTCCCCCCCACTAGATGGACAATATATTCGAACCCTTACACATTCGATTTAGATTCTAAATCACCCCCGCGCCCCCGACATCAATGCTGATCTCAGCAAAGGCGGTGCTTTGGGGGTCGAATAGTTCTGTCCACTCACGCCCCCCTCCGTCGCCACGGCATCAATAAAAATGTCGGGTGGTCTGGGGGACATTTTGGGCCACAGGGTTCGAATCTAAAATCCATGTACGGTCCCAGGGCCATCATGACCATCGTGAGGAGGCAGGGGCAGGGGGGCCCAGGGGGGACGGCGAGCGAACGACGACAACGACAAAAGCGCTCCGAGCCGTAGAACACAGCTGGGCGACATGACAAGCACTCCGCGGCCAAGGGATGGCTGCCCTGGCAGGCGAAGGGGGGGCTAGGGGGGGCGACGCAGGGCCCAGGGAAACCAGGCCGGGGGGAGCCGAGGCCATGTCAAGGGGGAAGCCAGCGGGAGGTCACGGGAAAAGGGCGAACGATGACGAGAGCCGGAATGTCCGCGTTGCGCGGCCGAGAGGGGTTGCCGTGGGAGGCCAGGGGGAGGCGGTGCAGGGGGGCTGGCCATTGGGAGGCCAGCGGGAGGCCGGATGGGGCGGCACGGCGCCCAGGGAAGCTTTAGGCCGGGGGGAGGCCGGGGGAGGAGGTCCGGGGGAGGCCAAGGGGAAGAAGACGGACGACGACGAGAAAGAGAGTTCCGCCAGAGAGGCCGGCCTGGGAGGCCAAGGGGAGGCCACATGGAGCGGCGCAGCCCCCAGGGGATCCAGGCCAGGGGGATGCCATGGGGCAGGCAAGGGAAGGGCCGAGGCCATGCCAGGGGGGAGTCAGGGGGAGGCCAGGGGAGGAGGACGAACGGTGACAAACGACGGCAATGAAGGGTTCCGCGGCCCAGGGGGGCTGCTTGGCAGGCTAATGGGAGGCAAGATGGGGCGGCGCCGAGCCCAGAGAAGCCAGCCCAGAGGGAGTCCGGGTAGGGAAGTCAAGGGGAAGCCAGGGGAGGAGGACGAACGGCGACGAACGATGAAAATAAGTGGTTCCGCGGCCCAGGGGGGCTGCCTTGGGAGGCCAAGGAGTGGCCACACGGGGCGGCGCAGAGCCCAGAGAAGCCAGGCCAGGGGGACGCCGGGGGGAGGCCGAGGCCATGCCAGGGGAAGTCAGGGGGGGTCCAGGCCTCCTGCCAGTCCCACAAGCTTACCTGGACGAGTGCGGTCTGTCGCAACGTTCGGCGTGCCAGCGGTACCTCTGCTCCCGCTGCGGGCGCGTGCGCCCCAGGTGCCTGCACGCTGCACGTGTTGCCGCTGCAGATGCCGCGCTGGCAGTTGACGACAGCGCCCCCCAGCCGCGCGGTGTGCCCACCTGGCAGACAATTTTCTCCAGGCGAACGACTGCAAAACACGAACTAAGTGCCCAGAGGGGCGCGGGTTCTCTGGGCCCGCTGCTTGGCGCAGGCGGCGGCGCTCGCCGCGCACCAAGACACCGAGGAGGCGAGGCACCAGTTCGCCCGCCATGTTGCCCAAGTGTGTCCTCCGTTCGCGCGCGCGCGGGAGCCGCGGCAGCAGGAACGCGGCGGAAACGCTGACCAAGAAGCTTTGCCGGCGCTGGCTGGAGGGAGAGCGCGCCTCGCTTTGGGCAGAGGCCGCGGACTGGCGAACCACCGCGGAACCTACTTCGCGTGCGGCCCAGAGAGCGCAGCGCTGCCTGGAGCTCGCGACGGACGTGCAGTTCTCCAAGAGATGCGCGGCGTTCACCAGCGAACCTCCAACGGAGGTCGCGGCAGCAGTGGTGGAGTAGATGCGCCAGAAGCACACGCGCAACCAGCGACCAGTGGACGCCGTCAGCCTCCACGCTGTCAGCGCGGCGGCGGTGCCTCAGCTAGGC